CATCCATTACATCCATCTGGTCTAATGTGTCATTTAAGGCTGGTCTTCCTTACTGATTTTCTGCCTGGATGCTATATCCATTGATGTAAGTGGGTTGTTAAAGTACCCTGCTATTATTGTATTGCTCCCTTAGGTCTGTTAATATCTGCTTTATATATTTTGGCCCTCCTATTTTGGGTGCATAAATATTTACAAATGTTATATTCTCTTGTTGGATTAACCCTTTTATTGTTATGTAATACCCTCCTTTGTCTTTAGTTAAAGTTTTTATTTGTAAGTCTATATTTTCTGCTATAAGTACAGCTCTACCCACTTTCTCTTCATTTCTAGTTGCATGGAAAGTCTTTTTTCATCCCTTCTCTTTCAGTCTCTGTATGTTCTTATACTGGAAATATACTCTCATATGAAACATATCCTATCTTAAAATCTCATAACTTTCAAGGCAGATATTCAGTATATAGAACTTAAAAAGGTCTTAGAGACCATATCCTTTGGATAAGCAATGGAGAAGAGATGATGAACTGGAAAAAGAAACAATAATACATATAAGAGGTGATCAAGAAGTCTGTGGGAAACCTCTGGAGACAATGTCAGTCCAAGACAGAAGACAATAACCCCAAAATAATTTTAATATGTACTTTTCACAAAATGGATTTATTATGCCACAAAATTATTTAAAAACACATAGGGGCAATAACACAATATTTTGTTGATGTCTACTGTTTTATAATAGTTGATTCTAATTTTGTTTAGAAGAAGAGTCTTAAATCTGTCCTCTATATTGCAACCAGTTATGTTTCTTTTGTAGTACCCATACACCTGCACTGAAATCATTTCAACTAACCGTATAGTTGGAAAGCTTATGTGATACCTTCAGTTGGCTGCATCAAGTGAATAAATTATTTAAAAATATGGAGAAAAGGTATTCCATTTAAGCTTCCCTTTCTACATGGCCAACCTGCATACTGGACTTTTTGTGTACAGTCTTGTAAAAACTTTTCACGACAAAATTTTTATTTGTAGTAGGATTAATTCATTAGTACATTCAAGGAAAAAAAAAATCCTTCATCATTTGGGACTGTCCTACACCTTCTAGGACATCCAAGAGGTCTCTCCCATTAAGTGGCTGTAGCAACAGCAAACTGTCCCAAAACCCCACAGTGAACAGTACGATCCCCAAGAAGAACTGCAGTCGTAGGTGAAGCACAAAACAAATGGAGTGCTCATCAAACTGTCAGTCGCGAAGGCATTTCTGAGCAGACGTGCTCTTTGCTTACTTTAGGGTTAAAGGCCTAAAGGCTGACCTGTGGATTAATTGCTGGGTGAACAGAATAGAAAGAGAAGTCCCTTTTGATGTAAGTGGAGTGGCAGCTTGCTGGCCCAGACTACTTACCACTGTGGACTTGAGGAGTTTTCTTTGCTACCTTTACCCTTTAATTTTTTTTTTTTTTTTAATTTGGTCAAACTGCCATAGAATGAAGGATTCTCCCAGGGTTTACTGTCACATTCTTCCTTTCGGAAAAGAAAACATGTGTCCTTGTTTGAAGAATTTGTCTTGAAGCATCTGCTGAGCCATAGGCCTCAGCACTTCTCATTCCCTTCCGAACAGTCAGATACACCTGCGAGTGCGGGGCAGTGCCTGGTTGTGCTGGTGCTCCCTTCTGGGCACAGCCACATGCATACATGCCCTCAGTGTCCATTCCTGCTTTCCTCCAGCTTCTGGAAGACTCCATTGTCTGGACAAGTGACAGCGGTAGGGGGATTCCTATGGGATGGAGAGAGAAAAGGAAGAGGGAAGAGCAAGAGGATTCAAGCAGAATGAGAGGAGAGAGAGAGAGTGGAATCAAGAGTCGGTGAGAGCGAGAGAGCGAGAAGGATTGAATTGAGATCGCTTCTATATGGGGGGGTCCTTGTGGCTTCTTTTCTACCATCAGATTTCTCCATAGACTCTTTCTGCATCTCCCAGTGTTGGCCAAGATTCAGAATATGTAGAAGCTCAGATCTGCTAATAACACTTTAAGACTGGATAATGACATCCAGATTGTTTTTTTCCATCTTGGGGATTTGGAGCATCTCTGAGAGTTGCAAAGCCAGCCTTGTTGCAAGAATATTTCTGAAGGCCCTCACTGTCTGATCACTGGCTCTGGGCTGCTGGGCACAGTGGTGCAGCCGTCCAGGGTGGCAGAGACCACCTGGGATATGGAAATTACCAGCAGCCCAGTTTTGTATTTGCTGGAGCACCTGAAGCATTCTGTGAATCTGGATTTCTGTTGTTTCTCACAAACGTCTCCTTAGGGGCGACAGGCAGCCAACATGGACCACATTTTGCCAGAAAAAACCAACAGGATGATGGCTGCTGTTGTCAATAATTGGCATTTCAACAGGACAGTATTTTTATTTCAGAGTATATTTACATAGCTAGGAATCAACTGTTGACAAGGATGAAATGATAAGCTGTATTGGTGCCAAAACAGGACTAGAAAAACAGGCTTGTTCTGAGAGTGGCCTGCAGCCCAAGAGTCAGTGTTAAGAAAATTCTTTCTCCACAGGAAATATCTGCACTTAAAACATTAACACTTAAAATAAGGCTTGGAATCCCTATTAAGTAACGTAGCGCACGCACACAGTAGGTCCTAAATGAAACCTGCCAAAGGAAGGAATCCATGCGTGCACTTACGTGGAGGAAGAGCAAGGTAGCTGGGTATCACCTTGAAACTGCTTGCTCCTTGTGTCTTTGGTTCCCTTGAACCAGAACGGGATTATTGGTGACAGAGGCCAGCATCCCCAGTGGTGACAAAAAAGGAAATTGGTAGAAAAGGCATCATCCAAGTTGGATTAACTCAGCTCTGTGGCCTGGGAGGTTCCCAGGACATCCAGCCAGATGCAGCGCCTCTGGAGATGTGAGGCTCGGATGTGTGTGATGACAGAGAGGGAAGTGAGAGGTAGGGCCAGAGGAGCTCGGAGGTGACTCTGACCTCCAGCCCATGGGTGCACCACTTTCCCACTATCCATCACCTGCAGGCTAACCCCAGGGCCACTGGACAGTTGCCCATTTTTCTAATAGACACATTCTTTCTCTATCAACAGTTCACAGGGAACATAGGTAAAGGAATCCAGCAATTTCTTTCTTATTTCACTGCCTGTCTGTTGCTTACTCATTCTGTGGTCTATTTGCTTTGGATCCAAGGGTCCCTGGGTACCAAAAGCTACATTAGTCTATTCAGCTGCATGTAAGCCAAGATCCTGACCATCCTGGTTTTGTTGTTATTGTTGTATTTGTTTTAAAGCTTAGCCATTTTCCATTCTAGGCAATTACAACTCTGTTTACTATGAATTCCACGGTGGAGGTATTTTCCCCATCTCCAACCTACGGGCTGCGCTGTGAGCAGTGACTTGTCACCACATTACCGGTATAGAGTCAGGGGTTCATAGAGTTGGGGGCCTTAATTTGAAGGTACCAGTGAGGAACAGGAGGGGAGGGGATGAGAAGAAATCTCTTTATGAGGGCAGGTGGTCTCAATAGAGGTTGAGACTGAAAGAAGTGTTGCTAAATACATAATGCATCGTCTGGAGAAAAATACAGCATCATCTGCACCTTGTAACATGGTATGATTAAGCAGGTTGGAGCTTATTTCTGGAGTATTTACTTGAGAGGAAATCCATCCTTATGGTCCCAAGACAAGACTGATCCATCCTGTCCTCCTCTTGCTCTGAATACTTTCCACCTCTTTCTGACTCACCTTCCTCTGGTCCTTGGGCTGAGTTCACAACTCAAATAGTCACATTCTTTCAGTTACCAGGGACAGAAACCCCACTCACACTATCTTAAGCAAAAAGGGAATTTGGGGATTCATGTGTTAGAAAGGATACTATGGAAGTTCCAAGGTCAAAGGAAAACAATGTAAGAGTAGGACCTCGTGATTGGAGCCACGATTTCCCCCTGCCCCGTCACCCCACTGCCATGTAACTTTCACCTCTGCTTCCTGTTGCTCAGCTCAGTTCGGCAGATGGAAGTTCCGCACGGTCAGGGAAGGGGCCGCTACTTGAAAGCTGAGTATTCTCACCCTCCAAGCTCAGCAACCTAGAGGGAAGAATTTCTGTCTCACGACTTCCATATGCAATCCCAGAAAAAGCTCTGATTGTCTAACTCAGGGCTAATACTGTCCCAAAGAATAGAGTGACCTGATTGTCTAATTTCTGTCCTGTGGCCCAGGAAGTAGGGTCTATCACCAGAACAAAGGCAAGAGCCGGGGGCCGGGGGGGGGGGGGAAGAGACCCAAAACCAAACAGCCTGGCAGTGAAAAACAGCAGTTCCCAGGGTCCTCTACACCTCCCCACCCTCATCATAAACCTTTGAGCTGAGGACAAAAAAGGCCCTAAGCCTGACCTGAAATGTAACAGCAAATTAGATCCTACCTGGAAAAATGACCTGTCAATCACTGCACAAATCATTCTTGCTCTCTGTGCATCTTACCAGAGTGGCACATGTCTCCTGAGAGTCTCCATAATAATGACCAGATGTGGTGTGGAGTCAGCACGTGGGGCTTCATTCCCAGCTCTGCTTTGTCCTGGGGAGTTCTCTTAGCAGGTTAATGCATTTTTCTGCCCTTCGGTTTCTTCCTGAGAAAAGGAATAATAATGCCTCTCTCACAGGGTTGTTGTGGGCGTTAATTGGAGAGTTTGTGTTGGTGTCAGACCTGACAGAGAGTGGGTGGCTAGTGTCTGCCCCAAGGCAAGCAGTGCCTTTCCTGGGAATCTTGACGTCAAATCCTGGAAATTGGCTTACATACAAGAGGCCGGATAGGTTTCTCGGTGCTCTCGGACATGTATGTTGATTAGGAATTTTGTAGAGTTGCTTAGATCAAATGGGTCCCAAACTTCCCCATTGCTGTGGGTGGGGGGAAGGCGCCGGCTGGGTGTCCTATCCCACGCACACTGCCTGTCTCCTAGACCTCCTTGTCTTTGAGTTTCTCTGTCTCACTCTTTCTCTGCACATTCAGGAGTATACACATTTCTGTCCAGCACCCTGAAGTCTCTGGAAGAGAAGGACCATATCCACCGTGTCCTGGACAAGATCACAGACACCCTGATCCATCTGATGGCCAAGGCGGGCCTCACACTGCAACAGCAGCACCGGCGTCTGGCCCAGCTCCTCCTCATCCTCTCCCACATCAGGCACATGAGGTGAGGCATCCTCAGGTTCCCCACGGGAGCCCCGTCACGAACACCAGCCCTCACGCGTGTACCGCTGGGCTGGAAAGTGCTGATACCTGAATGCAGATAGCCCACTTGGCACAGTTCCTGGCACGTGAGAGGCATAAATGCTGTGGGAGGGCAGGGGAGGTGAGACCGAAATCTGTCTAGGGCACGGGGCAGGCCTTCGAGAGCTTTCCTAGAGGACATGACATTTGCACTCAGTTGGAAGTCCACACAAGGTCTCATGGGGGGAGGGGTGCGCAGGGTGCGGGTTGAGGGAGGACGGCAGTGTTTGGTCGTTCACTCTGTCCTCCCAGGCAAGGACAGTCTATGAGCACGCCTATCCTCTGAAGGCCCTGGGTGCATCCCTTACGGTTCCTGCATCACATTCCCCCTAGTACACTTAGAAATTCTGAGAGAACCTCAGTCCCTATGCCTCACGCCTCACGGAGAGTCAACACCGATTCCTCCATTCCTCTCAGATCCCCCCTTGCCACCCCTCATTGCTGCTACCCGCATCCAAGCCATCATTCCTTCTGGACTTCTGCAGTGGCCACCTCACGCACCTCCCTGCCTTCAGTCTTGACCCTTCCTAACCCATTCTCCACACCAGAGCCAGAGTGGCCATCTCATACCACATCTCCTCACGTCATGCCTTTATTTAAAACCCTGAAATAGCTTCCTATTGCTTTAGTCCCTTTATTTTGCTTATATAACTCCTGTGCTCTAGCCCTTACTTAACTTTCTAGGGCTTCCCGAGAGTCTGAGCTCTGGCCATAAACGACTGTTCTCCTAGTCATGATTGGCTGGCAGCTCTGTCCATCCCCACTGGGTTCACTCCCACATCTGTGGGACAGCTGATGGAGGCCGGGCACAGCTGGGAGACTCCAGGTTGGCCAGGTGACTCTGCTTCCATGTGTCTTTTAGTCTCTTCGTACCCACAGGTTAGTTGGGACATATTCTTCTCATAGTGATGGCAGAGGTACAAGAAAGCAAGCCTGTAAGGGCAAGTGCATCGTCATGTTTTAGCTGAGTCACATCGACTAATGTTCCACTGGCCAACAAATCACATAATGAGGCTTAAAGTCAGGATCAGGGGCACGTGGCATGGGGAATGGATTTTTGTGAACAGTAAACTAATCCATCATGGCTTAGATACTCTTTTCAGAAAGGGTCTCCTGACCCTTGACCTGGTTGGGATTTGCACCCTGTTCTTGCTGATTGCTGCTGCCCATTTTATTTTTCTCTCTGCCCCAATTAGACCGTAAACTCTGTGAGGCAGTTACCACAACCCACTTTGGATACTCTGGGTACCCAATACCACCTAGCATGGGGCTTGGCATATAGGAACCACTCAATAAATATTTTGTATAGGAGTTAAGGAAGGATATTAGCAAAGGAAATGGAGCCTTTCTGTGCCAAAAGGAGAAAGTGTTCTCATTTCCATTTCAAATAGTCATGTAAAGTGGCTGGCCAGAGGCTTAGTGGATACTATTCCCATGAACAGAACTCAGCCTGTGGGGGAGAGATAAAGAAAGTAGAGGAAAAAAAAAAAAAGAGAGAAAGAAAAAATTCTTTACTCCAGAAAGGCCATAAAAATGAGGTGAAGTGCTGATACTAGGGATCAGGTACCCATGTGTGATGAAGTCTATGTGACCTTGGGCTTACACCCAAGCCGTAGGAATGAAAATGAAATTTCTTTTGTTAGTGGCTGTGAGGGAAGGGCCAAGGTGTCTGGAGGGTTGGCTCAGTTTTTAAGGGGCTTTCAAACCTTGAGATTATGCATCAAGTGGCAAGAAGCTTGTCCCATCAGAGTCCCAAGAATCACCCTCTCTGGAGAGAATCTTGAAAATGGGTAGCTTCTTGAGAAAATAAACATATCTTTTTTTGTCTTCCCCCACAGTCCCATATATGGTGTCTTATATACTGTGTAGGCTCACAACATTATTGCTGAGTGAATGAATATGTGAGTAAATGGATGAATGAGAATTACTTGAGTATTTTCCCTACCCTATGAATTCAAAATTCCCGTTTGATGACTTCCACTTGGCAAAGTTTGAGAGAGACTGATTGTAGTCTCTCTTCTCAGGGATTCTGTACGTGTCTGGTGTCATAAACAGAGGACTCACCTTGGCCAGGTAGAGTGGGGGACTGCACTGAGTACACATTTCCAATCCTTTCCCATCTGTTTATTTTTATGAATATTACAAAGAGGGAAGCAGGGAATGTGTCAGAATAACAATCCTCTAACCAGATTTCCTGGCTGAGAGAGTAACCTTCCCCTTGAAGAAATGTATTAGCTTTTACTCTGGGCTAGGAATTTCAAAGATGTTGTAGAAACCATATTGCAGATGAAGGTTTTTATTTGTTGGTAGGAATTGCCGAATTTTCAAATCCGTCAACTGCTTTTCAGCAGTAGCAAGCCTAATTAGTTAACACCCCGACATATCTGCACTAAATTTACAGGCCTCTGGTAGTTTTATTGGCAACGTATGGTGGAGGGCAGCCGCAGTGAGAGAGCTCTCTAGAGTTTGTTGGAATTGTGTGAAAAGCTGGAGAGAAGCTGCTATTCTATTGAAAGCTGTGAGCATTTTTTTTCTCTCTCTCTCTGGGGCACACACACACACACTAATGTTTTGGTGCCTTATTACAGCCAGTCTAAATCACAGAACTCTGTTTTATTAAGCTTGGCCCCAGCCATATGTTGTTACTCAGAGAACTTGACACCAGATTTCATGTGACTATAAATGTGATTCATTAGGTTGCACGAGCAAGACAGTGTGAGATCCAGCCAACATTTAACGTTAACAGCATTTTAAATGAAAAACAAACAAACAAAAACCCCCACTTAGATATGTAATTAGGTTGTGGTGGTGTAAGACCTGAATAGTCTGATGCTGTGTTTTCATGGCATGTCTCCAACTTGTGCCGACTCTTCCCCTACCAAAAATTGCAAATATTTTCCAGCACACTCTCTTGGTCCCATCTCCTCAGGATACATAATTCTTTCTAAAAAAAATCTCAAGATCGCTAAGAGTTGTTCTATATTTTTCCCATTGGTGATGTGGTGGGGAAAAAGCAGAGTTGTGGCTGGGGGAAGACAGGGGAGGACAGAGGTTAAAAGAAGAAATGCCATTTGCCTACATTTCCCTGTGTCCATTTGCCCCATGTTGTCTGAGCATCTAGCACATATTTGGCACTGCTGTAGGCTGCTGCATGCAGGATGGGCACATCGCTGCCCCCCAGGGAGCTTGCCCCGTGTGTGCTGGTGTGTGCGAATGTGGCAAGAATAAGCCTGCGTGTGTCCAGAGAGGAATTTCAGGTTGTCCTAGCGCTGGGAGGAAAACGGAGCAAATGCAAGAAGACAGCGAAAGCTGTAGTGCCTTGAGGTCACTGACTGTGGCAGCAAAAGGCCTTTCAGAGGAGGTGGCACTTGAAGGTTTGGGGAAAGAGCCCCCAGGCAGAGGGGGTAGCAAGTGCAAACAACCTGTGTCTGGAAGTAAAGGGCTCAGTTTCTTCAAGCTCTCTCTGAAAAAGCTCAGTTTTGTTTTTCTTTCTAGCACAAAAACCAGCGTGGTGAAAGAGCATGAGCTAGGGGAGAAAGGCAGGGGGAGCTCTGAAAGGTCGGCAGAAGCCATATCACTTAGACCTTGTAGAGCCTGGAAAGAAATTTAGATTTTATTCTGATTAAATGGCAAACACCTGGAAAGTTTGAAGCAAGTCAACTTCTTGACCTGTTTTCCGCATTTTAAAAAACTCCCTCCTACACGGCTGTCTCATCTCTGTTCTCTTTTTAGATGTAATGCTAATAGAGGGGAAGAGAACCTCATCTGAGTCAGGGGAAGGAAGTCACCTGGATAGCAAACCCTGAAATGGCTCTTTAAACAGGGAGAAAGGTTGGCTGGCAGGTGTCTTTGGAGTTTCCCTTACTTCCCCTTCTTAGGCGTCGCAGCAGCCCCGGAGTTTGGGATGCTCTAAAGTGGTCCTCTCTGTGTCTTCCCACCCGTAGTAACAAAGGCATGGAGCATCTGTACAGCATGAAGTGCAAAAACGTGGTGCCTCTCTACGACCTGCTGCTGGAGATGTTGGATGCCCACCGCCTGCATGCCCCAGCCAGCCGTGGGGGGGCGCCTGTGGAGGAGATGAACCAGAGCCAGCTGGCCACCACGGGCTCAACTTCATCACATTCCTTGCAAGCATATTACATCACGGAGGAGGCAGGGAGTTTCCCCACCACGGTCTGAGAGCTCCCAGGCTACCCCAAGGTCCTGAGAATCCCTGCGGCATTTTACCCACGTCATGCATCACGATAGCAGAGTTCCGCTCCTGCGCACACTCCAGCATGCATCCACCACCGTGGCTTTCTAATATGAGTGGCCATTTGTTTGCTTGCTCAGTTCTTAGTGGCACGCCTTCTTTTGGGAACAGCCAAGGGATTCCAGGGCTAAATTCTTTGACTCTCTCTCTCTCTCTCCCTTTGCTACATTACTAAGCATGAGGATTCTGTAGCTTTTCATGACTGAACTCAGTTTATGAGCTGGGACTCAGGTGACTGTGCATTTAAGCTACTTGTTGAGACCCAGACCTGGAGAGTGGACATTTCATCTCTGTGAAGTGCTTTTTAATGGATCTAAGAAAAAGCCCCAGGAAAGACTTGAAAGTGGCTCCTTTAATTGCTGACTGGGAGAAAGCTAGGTCAAGGGTTCATTATGGCATCATCTTGTATTCCTATAGTAACATATCATTTTATTAAAGTAATACCTTAAAGCTTTTGCTCTGTTGCATGGCTGGAGCTGAATATTCAGTGATTGTCCATTCATTTGCCCTATAGGAATACAAGATGCCCACAGAGAAGGAAGGTCTCCTAATTGTCAAAACGTTGTCAACTTAATACACTGCATCTTCAGATTCGCTGAATGTTCTTCCACTGGTTTTTGAGAACACTGTACAGGTCATGGGTTCCAGTTAATTCTTGCTTCCCATGGACCTATGGAAAACAGCAAGTTGATCCCAGTTAAGTCACCTCCACATAGACCAGTTTCCTTTTAAGGGATAAATTATTGGGGTTTTGTTTTTTGTTTTCAACTTATGAAAGAAAGCCTTCTCCCCCCAGGACTTGCTGAGTATCAGCTTCAGGACCTAGTCTTGTGTGGGCTCACACTCACCAGCAGAGGGCGCTCTGCTAGGCTCTTCCTGGCGTGTAACTTACACAGAGGGTGAATTCATTACACGTAGTAGTGCCCAGCATATGACCAAGGGCAGTTTAAATCAATAGGTACCCTGGTGACACTTTTAGCCCTGGGGCACTTGGGTCAATAGTAAATGTGCATGATTATTGTAAATATTAGAGAACAGGAGGAAAGTAGGAGAGAAACCGGATAAAACTGAGAGGCTCCCGGTGACCCTGCCACAGGCAGTAGCTCTGTCCAGGAGTGCCTCTGGCAGGCCCTGTGTGCACTGTGGGGCTGCCCTGGGACCCGTGGGCGCCCCTTCTCTTCTCGCCACCCTGACTGGAAGGAGCAGCAGTAGGTAACTGTGTTCCTACAGTTGGCCCAGCACACTGTTGGGTGGGGCTGGAGGGCGAGGATTAGAGGCTCACTACTCAGGCTGCCGGGGACCTCGTCAGACTCTACGTGCTCTTGGTTGTTTAGCGCTCATCCAAAAACCAGGGTTTGGCCTTGGGGAAAAAAAGTACCCCAAAGCTCATTTCATTAAACTTCATAAGCCAAGAGAGCGAGACTAGAATTGGGCCATAGGAATCCTTTGACCTATAGGCTAAACAAGAAGGGCTCAGTCCAGCCGCAGGGCAGCCTTTCCTAGGCCTTTGCTTCTCCAGAGCAACTAGGGTTTATCTCTTCTTCTCAGCCAAAAAGTAAGTTTGGTTTCCTCCGGTGACCTCATTGTCTATAATTCAAACCCCATTGAGAGGTGATGTGTTAGCCAACAACCCAGACAATCTTCTAGGGCTTCTCTTGGGATGCCTGTTTCAAAAAGTGGATTTCATTCATTTTTGATTACTTAGTAAGCAAGCACCAAAAGACTGGGAACCTGGGAGGGCCAAAAAATAAAAAAGTTTTTTCATATATGTGCATCTGAATTTAGGGGCAATTTTGTGTATCTGCAGTAAGGATATGTTTAGAACATAATTCTTTTATTGTTTTGTTTAAGAAGCACCTTATATAGCATAATATATATTTTTTTTGAAATTACAATGCTTGTTTATCAGACAATTGAATGTAGTAATTCCGTTCTGGATTTCATTTGACTGGGTTAAACGTGCAAAACCAACGAAAACTATTTAGTTTTTTTGTATAGCTACCTTGTCATGTATGCAGTCATTGATGCATAGGGCCTGGTGATTATTCATTTAAATGAAGATCACATTTCATATCAACTTTTATATCCACAGTAGACAAAATAGCACTAATCCAGACGCCTATTGTTGGATATTGAATGATAGACAATCTTATGTAGCAGAGATTATGCCTGCAAAGGAAAATTATTCAGGGCAGCTAATTTTGCTTTACCAAAATATCAGTAGTAATATTTTTGGACAGTACCTAATGGGTCAGTGGGTTCTTTTTAATGTTTATACTTAGATTTTCTTTTAAAAAAATAAAAACAGACAAAAAAATTCTAGTACTATAGATGATGTAATACCAGCTAAATCCAAACAATAATAAAGTGGAGGGTTTTACATTGTTCATCTAATGTGTTTGTATTCATGTTAAAGATACTACTACCTTTGAAATGGGCAGAGAACACCAGATGGTTGGAATGTTAGCCCAGGAAAATTCAATTAATTTTAGAAATCTCTTTTTATTCTTATTTGAAGTGCCACTAATGGACAGCTGACACTTTGCAGCTGATACTGCTGTTGGGGGTAGGGAACATGTTGTATCTTCCCCTCCCCCCCCGAGGCAATTTAAGTTTTGAAAGATAGAATCAACCTGGGGGTTAGGGTAGGGTGGGGAAGTAGGTTCAGGAATTTCAAGAGTGGGAAATACAGTAATAAGAGCCTTGGAAGTATTTTGAGGCAGATGGATACTGGCACCTGGGGTATGTACCAGGCTTCCGTATTCCTCTCGTGCCCTGTGAACTGCGAATGACAACCATTTCTAAAATGGCAGCCAGAGTTCTACGGAAGAGCAAGCATCGTCCGCGGTCCAATCTAAGGAATAGCTAGCTAGTGGTCTGTGTTTCTTTTGGCTGTTGCCTGGCTCCTGGCTTGCCATAATGATTCTGGAATGCTGTCATGCAACCATCAGAGAGGCTAGTTCATACAAAGAGAAGACCCTACAGAGGTTGCAAAATCCAGCCCCAAAGGAAGTGGAATCGTTGGTTAGAGTTTCCTCTGAACCTTGCAAGGCCATCTAACCATGCCATATCCCATGCCTTTTGGGGGCTGAACAAATAAGGGACTTCCTGATAATTTACTCTCGATCACATTAAGGTGTTCTCGCATTAAAATTTTAGACACCGAAATGGCCATTGAGTTAGGCTGTTGGTTTAGAGAACCCCTACATGAAACCAATTCCAAATCCTTTCCTCTTCATACTTTCCTACTCTGAGATGGACTGTGGATGCCGGGAATGATCACTAGGGCCGTAGTCATAGCTAATATTCAGAGGCAAATCTGCTTTGAGAAACTAAGTTATTTGGAAGGCAGATAGAGTAGTATAGTAGTTTCTGAGGCTATCCTGCTTCCCTTCGGTGCAAGTCTGGGGAGGATGATCCAGATTACACTGCACACTTCCTAGGTGAACTCCCTGAAAACTTACTCTCAACTGGAGCAAATGAATTAAACTGTGGTCCCAAATATTCATCTTCTCACTAGTGTGATTCCTCTGTTTCTAACTGCATCTCCTTTTCATTTGGGTTAAAGTGAGTGTGACCTCTTTCTATGTCATTTATAATTGTTTTCTCAGTAACTGCTGCCTTGATTATGGCACTTCAATTTTGCACTTTCAGAGGTTCAAGAAAAATTTCTATTTTTTTTTTTGCATCCAAATGTGCCTGAACTTTTTAAATATGTAAATGCTGCCATGTTCCAAACCCATCTTCAGTGTGTTTGTACAGAGCTGTGTACCCTGGAAACAACATACAGCCCCATGAGCAGGTGCCTGAGATGTGGACCCCTTTGCATTCACAGAGAGGTCATTGGTCATAGAGACTTGAATTAATAAGTGACATTATGCCAGTTTATGTTCTCTCACAGCTTATATACAATGCTTTCTGTGCACAGCATATTCTTCAATGTAGAGCTCTTGTTTTATGGGAAAAGGCTTATATGCCAAATTGTGTCTAATGGTTTAATATGCCTTTTCGCTGATGCATACTATTATTGATGTGATTCTGTTTTGTTGCAGCTTTGCATTGTTTAATGAAACACACTTGTAAACCTCTTTTGCACCTTTAAAAAGTAAGGAGTCCAGTGGGATGCTCAAGCACCTGTAAACAATTTTCTCAATCTATTTGATGTTCAAATAAAAAATTAAACGAATGACAACCGGCTTGGTTTCTGTAAACTCCCTTCTTGCTAATGGTTCACCACTGACTGCCTCAAATCAAGGCGATGGAATGCAGTGAATCCTGATCACTCTGATGCCAGGCTCCCTCCTCCCAGGCTCAGGAGGAAGTGTGTAGACTTTGGAGGTAGGCGAACCTGGCCTCACTTCCTGGCTCCACCACATACAAGATTTATGATCGTTGGCAATGAATTTTTCAGAGCCTCCACTTCCTCATCAACAAAATGGTGACAGTAACACCTAATTCACAGGGTGGTTATGAGGATTATATGAGGTGCTCTTTAAAATAGTTTTCTAATGGCTAACCCTCTCCCATTCTCTGTGAGGGAGAAGAAGGAAGCTCGAGAGTTATTAGTTATGAATGAAGGAGTGATAATTGGAATGAACAATCTGAAACTTGCATGATTTGCTCAAAAACCAATCCCCATCATGATAAAGCAGGAATGACCAGTACATTGCCTCCCCATCCCCCTCCATCCCACCCTAGGTTTCCATTGTAGGACCCTGCTCCCTTTTCAGAGCTACCTGCAGGCTCCTTTCCCCCATTTTCTCTGTAATTTAATGGATGAGTTGGGGGAAAATAATGTGAGTACTTGAGAGGCAACATAATATGGCAACACAGGCTCTACAGCTAGATTACTCAGTTTGAAGCCTCATTCTACCATTTCTTGTGTGACGTCGGCAAGGTAATTTTACCGTGCCTCAGTTTCTTCACCTGTGAAGAGAGAAAATAACAGCGCCGCCCACCTCGAAGTGTTGCTGTGAAGACCATAGGGGTTAACACGGGAAGCGTTTAAGGACAGTGGCTGACACTGCTTAGTTCTCCCCGAGTCTGCTCCCACTGTGTGTCTGCATTCACTTCTTCGTTAGCGTGAGGTTAGGTTTTTCACACTGAGACATTTTGATTCCAAGGAGCTCTTCTCTTTTCTTGTTCTATCAACCCTGGGCAAGTTCTTCAATCCCAATTTTCCTTGTTTCCTCATGCCTAAAGTGGAAATGAGAACATCCACCCTACAGGGCTATTATGAGGATTATAAGAGAAAACTATCAAAATGCTGGTCTAGGACCTGCAGGTAGGAAGCTGTCGGGACAGATTAGCTACCGTTATTATACTCATCACTACCCTCTGTGAGCATTTACATTTGATGGAATCATTGATGGGTTTGGATTTACATTTGCCATTTTTTATTGTTTTT